CAGCTCTGGGCATCCCTGGGGATCTCCCCGGCTCGCCGGGGGCTGGGATCAGAGTCAGCTCCGTGCCAACGCCGGTTTGGGCATTGTCAGCGCTGCCGCCCACTGCCTTTCATGTTTGCTCAGCACTGCTCTGAACCCAGGAGCAAACCCTCAGTTGCAACACAGGATCTGACCCCTTGCTTTTTTTTTTTCCCTTTTTTATGATTATCTTGAAAAGAATTCATAAGGAAAAAGGGAAAAAAAGAAGTGCTGATCAGCACAGAGGAGCAAAGCAGCCCGTGAGCGTGTCTCTGTCCCAGCCCCGCGTTTGCCCAGGGAAGGTCTCCGTGGCCACCCCGGCTCTGCTCCCTCTCGCCGCTCCGTTTCTCTGTGAGCTGTTTCAAAAGCATCATTGCAGGACCAGAAAACACATTCTGCCATCAGCTGCCTGGTAAACTGGTGCCACTGTTGGAGAGTGACTTCGTTTTCCTACCCCTGTGCAGACACCAGTGGGATGGGTCTGGATTTTAGTGTCACTTTACTGGGGTGACTTTTGGTTTGCTCCACGCGTGGCCCTGCAGTGGTGCTGGGGCAGGTCTGTCGGTCACGCTGCTGCTTGCAGGGCTGAAGCAACCTCAGATTCCAGCAGAGTAACCCCACCGAAACCAGCACGATCTACAGGAGTCGAGGCAGCAGCTGCCCAACCTCCACCCTCTCCAACCACCGTGGCATGGGCAGGACTGAAGCCAGCCCAGTGTAATCAGAGCTGAACTTTGTACCAGGTCAGCTGGCAGCAGAACGTGACTTCAGGTTTCTACAGCATGTGAAAACCCACAATAAAATACAGAGATTGCTCCCTAACATCCTAGAAAGGTTTTTTTGGAAGAACCAGCCCATCCTGGCTCTGCTCCTGCGGTGCTGACGGCAAGGAGACCCGGCCGTGGGCTGGGCAGAGGCAGGATGGGACCCCACTACCAGTATACAAGTTACTATAAAGTGCATCCACTCTCCAGTCCAGGGCATCGCTGCACAATGTACAATGTCAATCACTGACGCTTCTTCAAGTATCAAAACCCAAAAAAAAAAAATGAGGTAAACCAAAAAATGAAGGAGCAAACAG